ACCTGTAATAAGATCTTCGCCCTGCTGTCGTGGGTTCGAATCCCACCGAGGTTTACATAATTCGGTTAAATGCAATAAACCAGCGGGTTCCACTACAGGCCTGCGTAAAACTCGTCCTTATGAAGGGTGTGAAAACTAAATTTCCTGAAGATCCACAAGTTTTCATTCTACTTTACTGCAATACCTACTGCACTGAGAGAGGGCAGTTTAAATAAAAGGTGCACACTCAAAGTGACAATGGTAAGTAGGCCACCGTCACCTTTGTCTCTGTCGTTATTCATCCTACGTAGATCGGGATTTGAAGCATAAGTGCACTGTCATTTGCCAAATGAGCGTCCACCAATCAGCAGCAAAATGACAGGTTGGAGAAGCTGGGAGAGTTGACTAATTCAAATGTAAGGTTAGAACGAAACATGCTCAGGGACTTAAAAAAAATCATTATACGGGAATATAGGGCACCTCCGCTGCCATAACCATGCACGGGAGACTGCTAGACTTAACGTGGTCGTAAGAAAATATATGGAAGGAATTGATTTCGGGCATAAGGATACCCAGTGTCTATGTAGGGATCTAACAATTAACGGAACTAAACGTCGCAAATAACTTAGCGAGGTAAGTAGTTGTGAGTTGCTGGAAGCCATAAGGAAGTTTACAAAATCGTCATAGTGCAAATGGGCGTACAGTACATGCACACTAAGGTTCTTTTTCATTGCTGAACGCGATTCCCCTAGTGCTAGTTAATAGGGAAGGGGGGCAATAAAGAAGTCCGAATCAACGCTGATCATGTTTATTTCTCATAGTGTAATTTCCGGCTGAACAATTTTGGAATTCTCCAAATCCCTTCTACAATGAAACTCCCGCTTACACTCTTTCGAAGGCTGTCCCCCTTCTCCCTTGAACGCTGGACGCTCTCCCTCACTCAAATGCACATGACTGAATACTGCCCTCACCCGGTCACGGCCCCTTCTTTAGATTTTCACATTTCACATGGCGACCACCGTGAAGGGACATGGCGACGGCAGCTGCCCGTCCCCCCTCTCCCTTCTTGACCCAGCCGCCGCGTCTACTCCGAGAACTACTCGTCGAGCCACCCCCACCACCGCTGACTTCAAACGTTTGCAATCCCCCCTTTCCGGCACAGTATTGTCTCTGCTCACGTTTGCCTCCCCCTCTCCCCCTTGGCGCTGATGTTTTCAGAGCCCACAGGAACTGCCTCCTGAAATCATATAAAAGCAGATCC